CAAAAAGGGTTTCGGAGATGAATCCCATGGTATTTGGAAAATTTTGGAATGGGGGGAGAAAGGGAATTTCCACAGTCCATTGGGACCATGCATTTTTTGGGTGTTTTATATTAGGGTGATGGGATTATTGGGGAGAATAGGATTCTATCACCACAAGCTCAGGACATCTCAGGACTTTTTGATGCCAACTCAGTACCTATTGATGGAAGCCTGCCATTTTCATGAGCTTCCCATCCTCTTTCCATCAAAATCTCACCTTAGGAAGTTCCTCTCAACTGACAACTTATGTTGTTGTTTTCAGAACAAAATATTTCGTTTGCCATGATTTTTCGAGGTTCTAGAAACATCTCCCAGAGATTTTGGAGCTATGAAATGGGGCTTTTTTTTGGCTTTTGACAACCCAATTCTCCAGAAACTGAGGTTACAAGACCTGAATTCTCTTCGAAAGGGAGGAGCCGAGGTGGGGCGACCCCAAAAAACGAGCCTTCCAGATCTTCCCACATCTGGGGGACAGACATCGTTTTCTCCAACGTTTTCCCCAACATTTTCACCATGGCGTTTTCCGACCCTGCGGAAGGAGAATCGCCTGGATATATAATTGACCATTCCAAGCTAGACACGACCAGCTGGCCATTCCTGAGTCATGCTCATGTCAACCCGACTCATTCCCATGGTTTCTGTATAATTATCTATTAAACATTGCCCAAATCCATTTTTTGGGGGATGTATGGGTTTGGCACTTTTTCTTGTCTGGTGCTTTGGTGTTTGTCGAAGCACAGCACCAAGCATCATGGTTTGGTGATCTACCCGGGTCTGGCCACTTTTTCTGGCCGTTTGGGATAAAGGTCGTTGATTCTTTTTGAGAGACGTTACCATTAAATATGGGGCATATATGACCCAACAATGGTTCTACAGGTTCGCATGGATGTAAAAAGCTGTGACAAACATTTATCGAATTTAGAACTGAGCGCACTTATGACGGTTTGTTGTTGCCAATATACATTATTCTAATGATACCCATCCGAATAAGGCATGGCTTTACAATCTTCAAGACTGGGATCGCAACCGGCAATAGTCGGGATATTTTCAACACCACTTGTGATGCAATGTCGAGCTGGTCTTTGGATCCAATGCTCCGTGGTGCAGTGTGGCTCAAGATCAATCTGGAGAAACAGGTTTGTACGTTAGTTTCTTGACCCATGTTTCAAGTTACTGTAGCACTGCCAAGCGGTTACAGTGAGAAGTTTTCGATTGGGCAGTCCTCCAAAGTAGGGGACTTGAGAGTTCTAGCACAGAAATCCTTTCAACGTGGCTTCTTGAGGCTTGTGGCTGCAGACCATCGCACGTTGGATCCTGCAGTGTCTCTGCAAGCTGCGGGACTTGAAGATGGAGACCACTTGACGGCTATTGTCCTGGAGGCAAAGCTGGCGGCAACAGCAGCAGCTTTTGCATTGTTTTGCCCTGGAGGTGACCGAGTTGTCACATGGGGCCACCCAAGATCTGGTGGTGACAACTCTGAAGTCCAAGATCAGCTGAAAGGTGTCCAGCAGGTTCAAGCTACAAGGGAGGCATTTGCTGCAATCCTGGCTGATGGGTCAGTCGTGACTTGGGGCTCTCCAGACGATGGTGGTGACAGCTCTGAAGTCCAAGATCAGCTGAAGGGTGTCCAGCAGGTTCAAGCTACAAGTGAGGCATTTGCTGCGATCCTGGCTGATGGGTCAGTCGTGACTTGGGGCCCACCAGTCGAGAAATGGGGCGATCCAGAGAATGGTGGTGACAGCTTTCAAGTCCAAGATCAGCTCAAAAGTGTCCAGAAGCTTCAAGCAACGTGGTTTGCATTTGCTGCGATCCTGGCTGATGGGTCAGTCGTGACTTGGGGCGAACCAGACTCTGGTGGTGACAGCTCTGAAGTCCAAGATCAGCTGAAAGGTGTCCAGCAGGTTCAAGCTACAAGTGATGCATTTGCTGCGATCCTGGCTGATGGGTCAGTCGTGACTTGGGGCGAACCAGACTCTGGTGGTGACAGCTCTGAAGTCCAAGATCAGCTGAAAGGTGTCCAGCAGGTTCAAGCTACAAGTGATGCATTTGCTGCGATCCTGGCTGATGGGTCACTCGTGACTTGGGGCGAACCAGACTCTGGCGGTGACAGCTCTGAAGTCCAAGATCAGCTGAAGGGTGTCCAGCAGGTTCAAGCAACTAAGCGGGCATTTGCTGCGATCCTGGCTGATGGGTCAGTCGTGACTTGGGGCGATCCACGCTTTGGTGGTGACAGCTCTGGAGTCCAAGATCAGCTCAAAGGTGTCCAGCAGCTTCAAGCAACACAAAGTGCATTTGCTGCGATCCTGGCTGATGGGTCAGTCGTGACTTGGGGCAGTCCACGTTTTGGCGGTGACAGCTCTGAAGTCCAGCTCAAGGGTGTCCAGCAGGTTCAAGCAACGGGCTGTGCATTTGCTGCGATCCTGGCTGATGGGTCAGTCGTGACTTGGGGCGAACCAAAACCTGGTGGTGACAGCTCTGAAGTCCAAGATCAGCTCCAAGGTGTCCAGCAGCTTCAAGCAACTTACAGGGCATTTGCTGCGATCCTGGCTGATGGGTCAGTCGTGACTTGGGGCGAACCAGACTCTGGCGGTGACAGTTCACCGGTCGCAGCAAAAATTACATATATGTAATCGTGTTGGCGCAAAGACGCCCTGCAGTCTAGAAAGCTGCAGCTTTAGTTGAATGGCTGTCGCACATGTGGTTGACAAGGCCCTGGATTGACCTGTAGCAAATACCGTTTCGCATCCAATACAGCGCATGGATATGTGTAGCCATTGGTTGATCCCAGTCCAAGGGCTTTTGGAGAACTTGCGCAACACTATGGTGTTTACCCATACATCCCATACATATATATATATATAGATTTCAAGTCTCAAGTGTTCCCTTCATTCTAGATATCCACCTGATGTTGCTAACATGATCCATGCAATTGACATAGTCCAGCAGGATGACATGATGGATGATCATCCAACCAGCTGGGTGCCATGGATGCCATCGGAATTTCAAGCCCATCAGTTGGGAGACGGGGCTGCTTTTGGTCATTCCATGTATCACTGTGATGCACTACAAAAGCAAGCTATGGCACCGGTCACTATTGGTCTCAACATTTATTTAACACAAGTTAGACAGCAAAAAAGACGAACCTTTCTACTGATGTAGAAGGCAATTTCTTGGGACATCTATTTAATTTATAGGAAATTGTGCTCGGTATTTGAAGGCCACCCATGCCATGGTTCATAGTGCTGTCACTTGTCCCTTAACATTTGGGAAGCTGCCAAAACATCACCTAGCTGGACCTGCTGATACCTTCAATAATGGATGATTCAGCAAGTGGGGTCATATTTCCATTTCTTGAACTTCACATTTGACATATGTTTTTCCTGCAGATGGACCGGCAATGAAACACGCACATCTCTGCACTTACATGGTGAAATCATGTGAAAACTGAGATGATATCACCCAAACTGACTGTCTCCGACAGGGCTTTCTGAAGGACAAGATCAAGGAGGACTGCAATTCTGTGCGGCTGCATTGAATGGACTCATACACGAAGATAGGGAGCAAAAGCCGACCAAACTAGGGAATGGGATTTTTCACAACAATTAAACTGATTCATGGTCATATAAACATATATAAACTATAATGGTAGTTGTATATACACTAATATTCTATTTATACTTATTTACATAACAAAAACAGCATCTATTTAAGTATAACCCATGGCTCAACTAATTCAACGGATGTGACGGCGATTTTGTTGGTTGTGAAGCATGTAGATGTCACATATTCAAATTTGGGGAATACGAGATATCAAAAAAAAAACACGATATCTGATATCTGATATCGCTGATTTTATGGGAATACTAATGACGATGTAATGATAAAGGGCCAGATATCTCCCACTTTTTGTGACCTGGATGTGTCCCACGTACTCGATCATTTCATGATGTCAACATATTTGGGTAATGTTGAATCACGACCGAACCCTGTTCTCCACCCTGGAATCATGGTTTATTTTAGGGAAATCATTCCAAAATGGCCCAACAATTCAGGTTGTTGTTGTTTTTTTTTTCGCAGAACATCGGGTCATGGAGGATCACCAAGTCGAAGACGGGTGGCCCAACAATTCAGGTGAAATATGGCTGATTTCACCGCAGAAAACTCATTGATCAGCAAATCCCGCAACGGTTGCTAGGGGTTTAAAACACATTATAGTCATAGAGTGATACATACATCTATATGTCATTGATATAGGGTTTAACTATAGGGTTTAACATGGTTTAACTACACGTGACAGTATCAATCAACCCCATATATCCACTACTGCATGTTCAATTATATAGATTTGCATGTAAATACAGTGAATTTGCATGAAACCAGTGAGTATAATTGCGATCTCCACCAACCAAGAATCATCTAGCACTTATGATTATGTAAGGTTCATACCACTTTTCCTGGTTCCTTTACGTCTTTGGACTTTTTCAGTTGTTTGGTCCAGACCACAAACGAGAAGATCCGTATATTATTGTTCTAAAATACATGGGTGGCCAGAAAATCTTCAAGAAACACACATAGTTGATAGTGAAATCAGTAGATGATTTCAGTTCATGTACATCATGTAGATGTTTCATAGTTGTCCCTATATTGTTGCCATAGTTTTTTACATATGTGTCCCATCATCCTATGCGTTTCTAGCCCCATTTTCAGAGACCCAAAAAAGGAGGTGTCCAATCCATGGCGGTATCCCTAAATCATCAATTATTATAGATAGGAGTTTCTATTACCCTCTGGTTATGACTAACAGTTCGCCATGGTATAGATGGCCCTAATCAAAATAGATGGTTTACCGTTCTTAAAGATGGTGATTTTCCATGGCTATGTTAGTCATAACCAGATGGTATACCATTTTGGGGATCCCCCATTTATGGACCCCTGTTCAGCACATGATGATCCGCTGCGCTAGGCCTACGACGAGATGGAGATGAATGTCACGGCCGCGGACCTTGATCCCTACACGTACGCCTTGCCCGGGGATGCCCGGGGATCCCCTGATCCTTTGGTCCCCTGGTCCTCTGGTCCCTTGGTCCCCTGGTCCCTGGGTCCTCTTGATCCCCTGGTCCCTTACCCTCCTCATCCTGGTCCTCCACCCTTTTCATCCTTTGATCTCCCAAATACACCCTAACCAACCTGAAATAGATCCAAAAACTAACTCTAGACAATATGCTGCAAATAATACGAAATGCTGCAGATAACACGAAATGCTGCAGATAATCCCCTGCGTAGTACAGATGCTGGCTCCAAGATGCTGCGAGCGCGGTGCAAACAAGGGATTCAAGGCCAAAACGTTTTAAATACCATGCAAATTGCATAATTAAGTTCCAAAACCCTGGGAATATTCTACAAATAAGAGATTTCAGCTGCACAAAATTGAAGTATTCAAGGCCAAAACGCTTTAAATATCATGCAATTGCATGTTTAAGTGCCCAAACCCTGTACATATTGTACAAATAAGATATTTCAGCTGCAAAAAGGTTCAAAGTACAGATTCTTAAGTTTTTTCCAGTGTCTTAAGTTTTGTTTCCAGTGTGGAGAGTAGGGGTGAACCTTAATTTTTTCCAGTAGTCAAAAGTTTTTTTCCAGTGTCTACCCTTTCCAGGCAGAAAAAAACAAAGGAGGATGAACCCCCACCTCCGCCACCTCCACCTGCTTCAATGGCATGCCAGCCCAAAGAAATGGACAAGAAGTGATGATGGCGGCTTTTTTAAGGATACCCTCTGGTAAACGTTTACATAACTATGGAACATCACCATTTTTTCATGGGTAAATCAACTATTTCTATCCATTTTCAATAGCAAACTGTAAACGTTTACCAGAGGGTAATACGTTTTTTGGCAACTCGAGGCCAAAACTTCAAAATATGAACAGAGCGGCGCCATGCTACCCTGGAGGGTTCGATTCTTGCGACTTCCCCCCCAACGCCGCAATGTTGTTGTTCCTCGTCGGGGGCGAATGCATCCCCACTTGGTGGCGAAGATGTTGATTCAAGATATTCAAGGAATGCCAGGTGTGGCATGGCTATATTGATGTGACCTTAAAACGAAAGAGTCAGTTGAGGAGGTACCAAAACCATTGTTCATAGATGTCAATCGATTATCATAGGGGGCTATACTATATAGCCTGGTTTATGGGGATAAGTATGACGGAAGGCAGAGGGTTTGGCACACTGCCGACTTGGGATTAGGACAATCTTACTTTCAAAGGATTTGCTTACGGGGAAATCTTCACGATTTGTCCTGGAAACTGTCCTTTCAACCATGGGAAATCAAAAATGGGCATTGAAAAAGGAAAATCATCAAAGTAAAGGGGTAGTTTCCAGGAAGCTATGTTTGATTGCGGGAGTTATTTTCCCTCAGCAAAGCATAATAAGGGCCACATATTGGCGAATGTGGTAAACCCAATGCCAAAAGGCATCCAACCAAGCATGACAGGTGGTCATAATAAACATAATCCCAGTCATAGAGGTACAATTAATTACCATCAATTTCCCAATTTCATAAACCTGGGGATGGTTCATGGCATTTTTCTTTACCACATTAAATCTGATTGGTGGTTTCAAACATGTTTTATTTTCCATTTCATATATGGGATGTCATCCTTCCCATTGGCTTTCATATTTTCCAGATGGTTAAAACCACCAACCAGTCATTATTAACCATAATTAACCATCATTAACCACCATTAAATTTCTATTTCTACCTATTTCTACCTATTTCTACCTATTTCTACCTATTTCTACCTATTTCTACCTATTTCTACCTATTTCTACCTATTTCTACCTATCGCAACCTGATCTTTCTATGGTCATTTCGATGGTCCCACTATGTGGGGCGCCGTCGGCGACACGAAAGCTGACGGCTTATGTCGTGCCATCAACTCATTGTTGATATGATATGGTATAATAGTGTGTATCAACTCAATTATTAATATATATTAATTGTTGATATGATATGGTATAATAGTGTGTATATAATTGTATATATTCAATAATTTATAATATGTATATATATATATAGATATATTATGTATTGATATGCATTGATATGCATTATGTATTAATGCATGTATGTACGTATCACCATTATATATATATGAGTATACAGTGTATACATGTACTATATATTACTATATATTCGTTGGGAAGAATCATCGAAATGGTGATCAGTTGTTGGAACTGCTCAGGGACAACGCAGCTCAGTATGCCGTGGATGCCATGCGCTCAGTCCGTGGTTGGGCAATCTCGCAATGCGACATAGATTATACAAGGTGGGACCCCCCAATTATAAGTTGGTTTATAAACCCCATGAATGCTGTAGTTATAATTAGTTACATATAAATATCAATAATATCATAAATCATAGTTTTTGGAGTAATGTTCACCGACTTTGCGATTTCGTTTTGGGGGCTCCACTTCGTATAGAGATTCCGGGTACTTGAGATGTTTGGCCCCCCCATGATCGATGGGATGGGTGAACTCACTCAAGGGTCGTTGGGTCGTGGCAAATCTCCCATGTGTTATTTTTCAGAAGGTGCCACCAGCAGGCTTGCTCAGCCATTCTTGGATTCTTGGGGGTAAGTTGATATAGAACGGTCTTTCAATTTTTGCCCAAGAATTGTTCAGCCATATTAAGCCATATTAAGTAGCACCCAATATTCCGATAGCCATTCTTTTATCACATCGGTCATAAGCTCGGCCCATTGGGATGATAAGGTGAGGATTTTGGAGATCTCAACGGTTGGATTTACCCATTACAAATGGTGATTTTCCAGTTCGGTATGTAAACGTTTACCAGTTCGGTTGGATTTATCCATTACAAATGATTATTCATCATATTCCCATCTAACATTACCCATATGCGAACCATGGTGCTGGAATATGTACCAACATTTGCCCTTAAAAAAAACATCCAGTTTTCTAGTTAAATATACCATACATGGAGCATATGGGTTAGGATGGAAGGTATAAGAATCATATCATTCACATGCCTGGGAGAATTCCCACTTTTTCTGCCAATGCACCAACGGCCAGGCCAAAGAAGCTGCATCCAGGGCAACAGGCGACTGGTGGATGGAGAAACCATGGAGATTTTTCACATAGCCATTTTGGGGGGATCCATACAGATAACCAGCCAACGGATCTTCTCTTTAAAGAGGAGATGTCGAAGTTATAAAACATATAAAGACATTGTTCATATATCTTTGATTTAAGACGCTGAAGAAAACGAAGTTCCTATTCCCAGATGTTCCATTCTTTTCCTCTTGTTTTCCACTCAAACAACAACGATTTCCCCTGTTCATTCACCCGGCTTCACAGGTGCTGCTAGAGAAGCCTTTGTGCGCGAAGCGGGCCTTGGAGGCGTCTCATGCCATAGGGCTTGAGGTTGCAAACTCACATGGTGGTACCCATTGGTACCCCAATCTGGCTGGTTTATAATGGACAATCCATCTATAATAATGCACAATCCATCACAATCCATCCACACATGGATGATTTAGGGGGAATCCCATTTTTAGGAAACCTCTACATCTTCGAACTTTGTTATGCCAGAAAAAAGAAAGCCCGCCGTACCATCCGATCATCCACCATGGCAAGTTCGATGATTGTCCCATGAGGTGTTCCAGCCAAAGTGGATCATGCTTGGGACGCCGCCATGCAGGCGGAAAAGCGCAGCTCCGGGGTTTTGCTGTCCCCAATGACTTACCAGAAATGGGTCCAAAAACATCCCCAAATGTGGATGAATGTGGTCATTAGCTAGGTTTGTGGCAGGGTGGATCGCACAATGAAACATTAACATGGAGTTACTCCTGTTACAGATGTCTGCCTCATTTTTTTCACCATCCACCGATGCTGGGCATGGCTAGTAGAAACTGGAAACCCGTTGTTTTTTTGTGTTTATCACTATTCCTGGAATAATGATTCATTTTATCATATTTTATCCATGATCATGGATAGACCAGAGGAAAAAAGATAATGGATTTCATGTGGTTAAAACAATGATAAACCATCCCCCAAATCACCATTTTTATAGGTGGTATAAACCACAACCAAATGGGTAGTTTATTTATGATCCAAGTTTCCTGGTCCTGCACTGTGACAGGCTCTTCGATTTGCTCACGCTCAACGACTGGTGGCCGGGAACCACATGGGGAGACCAAAGAAAAGCCTCGAAATCGCCATGTTTCGGGGAATGAACATCTACCAGTCTGGTGGAAAATGATTGAACTCTGTTTCCTGTATCCCCTTATTTGGGATAAGGCTCCCAAGTCAAGATAAAGTTACAGAGTTGCAGATTTACAATTTAACTCGTGAAATGTAACAACATTAAGTTACTATAACTTCAAGTTAACTTCTCCAACTTCAACTCCTTCCCCTTATCTTACAATTTCAGGAACCCTGCAGTGATCTGACTCAGACAGTGTCGTGTTGAGCTTCCAAACGTTGGGCGATGCTTTAACCGATCCCCTAGCCATGTGGGACAGAGAAGTTCGACCTGAACGTGGCAAGAGCTTATTCGAATAGTTTAGGCATTCCCATTGGTCATGGGATGACCATAAACATCCATAATACCATTTCGAAAAACCATGTAACTTGTAGCTTGACCATGTCACGTATGTCACAACTTATATACCCTCCAGTGTCATCAAACATGGCTTGCTGGACAAGTCCCCTTAAGTTCGACGATTTTCCCAGCTATAAACTTCCATGTATAGGAGAAAAAACATATTGCCCCATGATTTTCCCATGATTTTTTCCACTTTCCCATGATTTTCCCATGAATTTCACCATTTTCGCATGATTTTCCTATGAAATCGCCATGTTTGATGACCCGGGCCGTATCGCCTCAGGCGAAAGAGCTCATGACGACCCGCAGCGATCGTCCCTTGCCGATATGGATGTCATGAAGAAAATTTGGTGGTTTCCGTGGTACGAGGATGGGCCAGAGAAATCCGAAGCACCAGTTGAAAACGGTGGTTGATCCATGTTTATCCCATTATTTATAGGGTTATCCCATTATTAAATATATTATTAATAGGGTTGTAACCATCGTTTTGGTGGTGCAGGATGATGACATGTTATTTGTCGGATGTTATCCACCTATGAATAATGGGATAAACATGAATTAGTCATAGGGTTGCAACATGTTGGGCAACATGTTGCAAGCATCCTTTTGGTGGTTTATCGGATTTCGCTGGCCCATCCACAGTATTTTGCAAGATCAATCTATATGGAAATGTGGAATCCATGACTCCATGACAATTCCACACATGGTGGCCATCATGGAACCCAAAAAACTGCTGGCCATGTGCAAGTTCGCTTCAGATCATCACTTGCTATTTGGCACGTCCTCGTCCTGGGCTTTCAAGGTGTTGGCACGCTTGGATTTGGATCATAGATCATAGTGAACACAGCGCCGATATACCAACTGTATCTAATTGTATCATCTAAGTAAGGCCCCAGTTTACGATATCACTAAGTTGGTGCATAACTCCAATAACTCCAACAAGTAAGTAGTAAGGATGCTTTATGACACTCTTCACTATAGTTTTTTTTTTTTTTATGAGGTTTATGAACCACCTCATAACTTTGGGGGGCACATTGTAAGAGTCACCCAATCTGTTGCGTTTCAGGTCAGATTGTCGATGTGGCGGTGAACAAGGTGCTGGATCGAATGGAGGAAGCTTTGCACACGCATCTTGGATGCAGTGAAGGTCAAAATCCATTGGAAAATGGTGGGAAAATTGTCAGAAAAACGTGGGGAAAACCGGGAACACCATGGAAAACATGGGGAACTGATGCTTATTAAATCGTTCATTACAATTAAGGGAATATCTTATATCATCGGGGACTAGTTCAAAATGAATAGGAACTTGTTTTAAAAAAATGAGTATCATTTCATGTAGTTGTAAGCATACTATGCCTATCTATTCCTATATTATAATTATATATAATTATAGTTCTATGGATTTAGCAGCGATGTTTCAGTATGTTCAGCTGGTGTATCGATCTCTTGGGACATCGCTCGCTCGCACAAGGAACAACCTGACACACCAGGGGTACGGGTGCCCGGTACACGCCGCCAGGCTGTCTGGAGAATAGCCCCATGGATCCCATGGATATAGTAGTTCTCATATCCCTCAAACATAACTATTTTATTACTACACAGACTACACATAGGATATAAATATATATATATATACATATTTATTTATGTACATTATATTTTGATTAATTATGTGTATATATATATATATATGTTTGAAGCATGATGGTAGTCATCCTCGAAAGTGTATTTCACCACAGGTTCAGGGACTGATGTGAGTTTTGCTTTGGTCATTTTAACGGGTAGTTATCGCAAACTATGCTGAAGGGCAAGCGATAGAACTCCAGAGAGGTTGCAGAGGATTTCAGCTGCCAGTTTATCATCCTGCAGGGAAGCAGTTGAAGCTGTGAAACGAGGAGACTCAATGGGCGGAAATCCACTGGGAATCTTTTTGGGGTATCCCCATATATCCCCTATGCTTCATGTATGAATATTCATTTACCCTCTGGTAAACTAACATAGCTATTGAAAATGACCATTTATAGTGGATTTTCCCATTGAAAATGGTGATTTTCCATAGCAAAATGTTAGTTTACCAGAGGGTACCAGCATTCTGCCCAGGCAAGTTGTGAGGAGATCCTTTGGTATCCTTTGCTCATCACCTTCCACACGAAAAAGATTCAAGGGGCTCTTAGATAGGCAAAGTTGTTTTGTTCTTTTTTGTTTTTAAGCTATGTAGGCTATACATGGCTATACAACTCGGATTTGTACTTTTGATGCGTTACTGTAAGCCAACAAACAGAAGAGTGGCGGGAGCCTGTACGTGACCAGCTAACATGATCTATCCATGGATTCTGGACTTTCAAGGATACTCGTAATTAGATAGATGGATGGATGGGAGGATGGATAGAAAGATAGAAAGAAAGATAGATATATAGATAAATAAATAGCCATATTCTAGATACATAGAGAACATAGATAACCTAGAACATAGATAACATAGCCAACATAGACAACATCGATAACATAGACAACATAGACAACATAGATAACATAGACAACATAGATAACATAGATGACATAGATGACATAGATAACATAGATAACATAGATAACATAGGTAACATAGAGCATAGATAACATAGACAACATAGACAACATAGATAACATAGACAACATAGACAACATGGATAGCATAGACAACATAGATAACATAGATAACATAGATAACATAGATAACATAGATAACATAGATAACATAGAGAACATAGAGAACATAAATAACATAGATAACATAGATAACCTAGAGCATAGATAACATAGACAACATAGACAACATGGATAACATAGACAACATAGACAACATGGATAACATAGACAACATAGATAACATAGATAACATAGATAACATACATAACATAGACAATATAGACAACATAGGCAAATAAGATAACATAGATAACATAGACACCATAGATAACATAGATAACATAGACAACATAAATAACATAGAAAACATAGACAACATAGATAACATAGACAACATAGACAACATAGAGAACATAGATAACATAGACAACATAAATAACATAGACAACATAGATAACATAGAGAACATAGAGAACATAGAGAACATAGAGAACATAGATAACATAGATAACCTAGAGCATAGATAACATAGACAACATAGACAACATGGATAACATAGACAACATAGACAACATGCATAACATAGACAACATAGATAACATAGATGACATAGATGACATAGATAACATAGATAACATAGATAACATAGGTAACATAGAGCATAGATAACATAGACAACATAGACAACATAGACAACATAGATAACATAGACAACATAAATAACATAGATAACATAGACAACATAGATAACATAGACAACATAGACATCATAGAGAACATAGATAACATAGACAACATAAATAACATAGACAACATAGATAACATAGATACCATAGACAAATAAGATAACATAGATAACATAGACAGCATAGATAACATCGATAACATAGATAACATAGATAACATATATGTACGTGACTGTCTACATGCGCAATATTCAAAGATAAATCGTATACATCGGCCGTACGTTTTCCAGACCTGCCCCAACCCATGACGCTAGGACTGGAGCACTTGGAAGACGTTCAAGAGTACGTAGAGGCGATTGTGAAGTTCTCCGGAGAAACAGGGGGCGGGGCGGGCGTTTTAGTGGCACCTGAACATGGAACCCAAGAAGTGCCATCATGAAGTTTCCCTTGTGGAAATACGAGCAATTGGTATTTCCTCATAAGATGAATGTTCAATTGCCTTGTTTGGTCCAAAATTCATGGCAGGATGACATGCAGAAGCTTCAGAGCGAGCAGAAGTTGTTGGATGCAGAATTGCAGGACTCGCGTGGCGAGAGTTTCAGCGAACCAGGGGAAGACCAATAGCAAGGATCGGGATGGTCCAAGTAACGCGGGAACGTTAGCCAACACCAGAATTTAACCAACAAGAAAAGCATATCCAAACCAAAAGTGGTGGACAATTTCGGGAGTTCCCCGCTTTTGAATCAAACAAACCAAAAGTGGCCTTCAAAGCAACTGAAATGGGGATGACACCAGCGAAAGTGCGGATAGAACCACCCAACACTGTGTTTGGTGATGCAGCAGGCTATCTAAGATTCGCCAGAAAGCACCAAGGGCCAGTTTCGTCGGTCCGTGATGTAATGGGTTTGTTTGAAAAGACGGTATCCCAAAATCACGTTGTTGTTGCGGTTTCTTTGAGTTTCCTTATTTGGTTTCCATGTTCATGATATGTTTGGGGGTTAATTACCCTCTGGTAAACTAACATTTTGCTATGGAAAACTACCATTTTTAATGGGTAAATCCACTATAAATGGTCATTTTCAATAGCTATGTTAAATTACCAGAGGGTATGTTTTTGGGTAAATTACTTAATGTGGCGGCCTCCAGTGAGGTTTGTTGGTTTGTAGACCTCATGAACAAGCTCGATGTACAAATCCCGTCGTTGACTTACTTGGTTCAACCATCTTAGCTAACGAACTGAGGCACCACCATTGTATTCAATTACATCCATTGATCCACTATAATCATCATGTTTCTTGGTCACAACTGTTTGATGCTTGCAGCCCATTCCCATCGTTGATGGTGAAACCACGGTCATTTTTTGATGGTCAACGATCATGTTTTGATGGTAAAAACCCTCATTGTTGATGGATTAAACCATCATTTTTGATGGTTCTGCTTTATCTCTCATGCCAAACTCAAAGAATCACAAATCATTTTCGCATCTTAGCCTTTTCCATGACTCCACCAAGGGTTTCGCTTTCCAGGAAGCTGAAAAGTTCCCGCTGTACCCCAGTCGCGACTATGTGGTGCGCACTGTGAACCGATATTCTGTTCATGCCTAGTTCCGGTCATCCAAGGATTGATATATGAGTGAATCTCTACAATATAAATATATGATTGAATATGAACATACATTAATATAATATACATACACTTAGACCTTAGAGATTATATATAGATATGAAATGATATGAAAGGGAATCTGGATCTAACAGATACACAGATGTAGCATGGTGATTTCAACGTTCCCCGTTGTCGATCTAGCCATTCCAGTGGCCCCCTAGTGGCCTGTTTGTCGCTTTACAAGTCCCATGAACACTATAGATCCTACAGGATGCAAGTATCATGGACCATAGTGAAATGTGACATATGTATCCTCCTTCAAATTTCAGCTACGAAATGGGGAGGACTTGGGCTACAGTACAGATTGCCAGCCAGGATTTTTTTGTACAAACAGGAGGGGTTGGGCCCCCCTTTTTGTATTTGCATTCATTTTGTAGTTGATTCCTTTCAAATCATCATTTTCATGTTGTAGTTGTATATGTTGAGTTAGTTGAAGCATCCAACATAAAATCTACAGAAGCCATCTAACAAGGTAACAGATCATGAAGCTAAGAATGCCATCTAACAAACTGCACGGGGTCAACACTTGACCCAACTAAATTCAATCATTGACAACTACAAAATGTTCTCAGAATTTATGTTGGTCTGAACTTTGGATGGCATAGACCCAACTACAAAATGTCATTGGGAAAAATCATGTTAGCAATTCCGATTTTCAGCTATTTTTTAACTTCAGATGCATTGGATTTTGTAGTGCTGATTTTGAATTATTTTCCGAACCAGAAAGAGTTATGTTCTTCATTTTGTAGTTGCAAAAAAAGTAACATGCACTGCATTGTGTAGTTGCGCACCCTATGCATTCCGCTTTGTACCTACCAAATGCCATTGCACAACTTCTCCCCCCTTACCTGAACCCTGATACATATGTGACTTATGTGGCTTTTTCTGAAAATTGCGTTTTATGCTTTTTATGGGCCCCACTTTGCCAGGTGGATGAAGTACCCAGAGCCGACGAAGCCCGACCACCACCGGAGGCGACGAATCCCCGAGGGGATTTGAAGCAACCCAGAAAATAAACCCAACCAACTGGATGGGTTGAAACATGTTGAAACTAATCAACTTGATTTTTTGCAATGGAAAATGGTCCATAGAAATTAAAAATATGGTGATTTTCCATGGCTATGTTAAATAACCAGATGGTAATTGAAAAAAAACGGAGCTTTTCACAGTCGGCTCCGGGAGGAGCTTCACGTCAAAACGTCGCTTTTTGTTTTTTTTCTACGACGTAGGAAAGCATCGTACTTGGAGGATTATCCCAGGAAAGTAGGTGAGGTCCGTTAAGGCAGATAGTATGACTGGTTTATTACCCGGTTATACAATATACATGGGATACCACGATATACCAGTTGAAGGGACTTGCTAGCCACCATCTCAGTTGTAAAAGGCCTTGAGCTGTGTTGAGATGTTTTCAGACACGTATCTTACTTTGACGTGTTTCGGCAGAAGCAACGGCCCCTGAAATCCTCTGTCGTCCCACGGCAGACCATCATTGGCGCAATGGACACGGGCGTCCCAAAGGTCTGGCTTCGGTGGGAACTGATCTGGGATGGTCAACCCGAAAAGTCTTCGAAGAGTTCGAAAAAACTGTGATAAAACACGAAGTGGAATGGTAATATGGTAATACACCAATCTGGGTAAACTATAACGACCTCACTGTTCTCCCGAACCCTGGAATCATGGTTAAGGGGAATCATCCCCAAATGGCCTTAATTCAGGTTAGCGAAATATTATAATATATAATTTACCCAGACCAATGGGACTTTTGGGGTGAACATTGGGACACAGCCATTGTTGGGCATGTCATCTCATCAACAAATATCCTCATTCGGCCTTGTAGGTCAACATCACCAAAAAGCCAAAGCTTTCGGAAACTTTTTCCCCAAAGGAAAACACGATCCGCACCCTCGTCATTATTATTATTATATATATATACATGCATTTACAAATACATCTACATTTATATACATACATGAATATAAGTGTGTTGTATCTAATATTATATATAATTATATATAATTATATATTATAACATATACACATACATATATATATATATATATACACATACATACATACATACATACATACATTACATTACATTACATTACATGACATGACATTACATTACATTACATTTACATTGCATTGCATTGCATTGCATTACATTACATTACTTACATACATACATACATATACATGTATATATCTACATATACATATATATACATATGTATGTATATATATATATTATATTTATTATTTATATATCTATTAATAAGCATCAATATACTTGGGGGGAGTAAGGAGGATCCTGGAGATATTCCTGCCTTTTATCGAGTGACCCAGGTGTGATTCCTCACGGGTCATCCAGGTCATTTGATTTTTAGCACTTTCTGGTGATGTTGGGTGTATTAAGCCTAAGTATGCTGGATTATGCCTAGGTCTGTTGATTTTTAGCACTTCTAACAAATCTCAAACACATGGGGGTTAAGCCTAAGTATGCTGGATTATAGGGCTGATTGATCATAATAAGCGAGTAAATCAAAATCCTAGTGGAATGAATTAGGTCTCATCATGACAGGTTGCGCCAACCACACCTATTTGATCTATTTGGGGTTTTGGGAGCGACTAGGCGTTGAAAAATCCCGTAACTATCGCTATAGCTGGGTTATCCCAGTTACTAGTTAATTACAAGTCATGCAGTGATCCTCCATGGTTAGTTACCCTCTGGTAAACTAACATAGCAATGGAAAATCACCATTTATAGTGGATTTTCCCATCTAAAATGGTGATTTTCCATAGCTATGTTAAATTACCAGAGGGTAAGTGCTTTTGTTTAATTGTTTACCCCATCAAATCATGGATATCATATAAACCACTACTGTAAAAACCCCTCATGTTTCATTGCAAGACCGATGAACTTACCTCATCACAAATCAAAACAACGCCATAACCCATAGGATCCATGGTGCTGGTACATATGCTAACATAAAGGGGGTATATTGATGGGATCCATGGAGCACCATATATAGCAGCACCATGGATCCGTCATGGGTAATGTCAATGTCATGTGCCAGGCGGCCGACGTGTCTCAGATCTCTTACAAGATGGGGTGAGGCCCGGCCATCTATTTGGGATGCAGGAACTTCCTATCAATGTTTAATTGTCTATTGCTGTGTCTGAAAATTAGTGCTTGAGAAATTCCTTGAGAAAATCAATGATAAACCGTCTATCAATGCAGGAAATGATTCCCAAATGTCTATGACTCCCTTAAATTAGTGAAACGGTTTATCATCAGTGCTTGCATTCAGTGTTTTTTTGGGGGGGCATGCGAGCCATTTTCAGACATACCCATTACCCATTACTATTCCACTTTAACGCATTAAAACCCATTGAATCCAAATTGCTGCTGGCTGATTAGGTATGATGAATTTGATCTTGTTCATGGATGTTCATGGATCTTAATCTTGATTTAAATGGTGAATATAATCATTGGGAACAATGGGATGTTTCAACAATTCCCCACTGGACCATCATGACATCCCTTGGAAGCCTTGGATGATGTCAGGCTTGCAGGCGATGTGGAAAAAGTGGCCGAAGTTCAGGGGTTTGTTCAGGGTTTGTGGGAAGAGAGGTGGAAAGATGTGGTCAAAACATGTCAAAACGACTGGGGGATTCAACATCCACAAACCTATGGTTCTTAGACGACCATGCGGGTGCTAGGGGCGACCCATGACCATATGAATGACCCTTGGAAAGAAAATTGAATCAACTGCCTTTTTCACTGATCTGAGCCAGCATTGGGAATTGACCAGCCAACTTTTTTCAAAAACATCAAGTCTAGCGGCTCGCGATTCCATCTGATTCCATCATCAAATTTGGAGATTTAACACATCGTAAATGGTCCTAAATAATCATATAAGCATCAGCAGTTTGGATATCAGCAAAAAAAAAAGCGGACATGTAAGCAGCAAAACTTGGGATATGGACGGTTGTATCATATCCAACAGAGTGTAGAGACATTGGGGCCCCCAGAACGATAGCTAACTTGGTAAACATAACTCCAAATCCCTCTAAATCAACCATCGAATCAACCATCAAATCCCATCAATCTTTTGGGTTTATACAGCAACAAACATAATTTGGGGGCCCTACATTGTATAATATTGTATATTGATGGGTTTGTCTGAAGATAGTGTGCCTCTACATCCTACATCCATCAGTCTCCCTATAAAACTAGCTATTTGGGGGTATAATGTGGGTAAAACAATAATAAACCACCCGCGATTTCACTGTAAATAGATGGTATAAACCATTCCCAAATGGGTGGTTTATGACATTGTTTTTATTTTCAGGCACACCAACATGGATAGACCCGCTTTCTACATTGGCACAGCAACGTCCAAGGCCGAGCTTGCATCCATTGCCAAAGCCGCAAGGAAGGAATGGCAGGCTCGACAGAAGTCCGACAGCCGGGCTAAAGGTGTCCAGAATATTCACTGCAAAAAACAACAAAAAGACTTACGCATCAAAAACACTGGCATAGCATAGCATAACTGATAATAATCACTATGGCATAATGGCTGGACTGGTTTAAGGCAAATTCCCGGCAGGATTTTTTTCCATCACAGATTTCCGGTCTTGATTTTCATCCAAGTCCGGGAAAGTTGCAAGTATTGAACTATTGGGCGCAATGCGGCATTGATGGAAAAACATGGATATACACCCAAATTGCTGGTTGGTGGTTTGGAACATGAATTTTATTTCCCATTCAGTTGGGAACAATAATCCCAACTGACGAAGTCATATTTTTCAAGATGGTTAAAACCACCAACCAAATTGTCCATGGTAAATGAAGAAATGATGATGACATATCCACCACTTGGATCCACTTGGCAATTCCAACATGTTTTACTCGTCGCGGGGTTAAATTCGGGTCTTGAATTTTGGCACGCTGATTTTGAGTCATCCTGTGGGGCCGCCGACTCGGCCAGGAGTTGGCGAGCATCAGAGGCAACGGCTGAAAAGTTGGAGATGTGGTGTCAGTGTGGCGGGCAAACATCCGATGGTTGAGCATCAAGTTTCCCCATGAAATCGGCTGACATTCCCCTTTCCAAAAAAAAGACGTATATCTGGGGCCGTTTCGGGTACGACGCACGTTTTTTCAACATGGTCAACGGCAAAACTCACACGCGCGAAGTATGCGCGCTTCACAATGTGAAGCAATGGCTAGCAGCTAGCAGTCCTTCCAGCATGGGAATTTGGGGGGCCATCCCATGAAATGTTGAGAATCCTCCAAGAGGAGGACCATCCACCGTGATTGGTGATCTGTGCAGCGGAGCACGCCTTGTTTTCTCAAGATCTTGACTGAAATGAGGATCAACTCAGAACCATCTCCAGGTTCTCTTGCAGCGGTCAAACACCAGTGGCGACCTCTACGTCCCAAGGAATTTTCCACCGGACACTGTAAGGTTTTGTTCCATCTCTTCTTAGGCTCATGCTTCCAGAGTCAATTTTCACATTTTTTCGGGATCCTCTACCTCTACCTCATCTATCTCCCCAAAGCAACATTTGTTGAATCCCTTCCCCCTCATATTAAACACCCTCTTAAACCATGGTTTAGTAGGGGATTTCCACATCATTGATCATTGAGGGCCTGTTTAATGTTAGGATGGGATTATTGACTCTAGGCTCCCCGAACATTTCGGTCCCTTTTTTTTCGCCAGAGGTGAACAACTCCCCCAAGCTCCTAGTGATGGAGTGAGCGTCACTTGGCTTTCAGAAGCCAAGTTTCAACCAAGTTGGTTGTTCGGAACACCTGGGGTTTTCAACACCGGGGGTTTTCAACACCGCGAAAACATATGACAATTTGATGCAGATTTGATGACTAGTTGATGATGTTTATCCAAAGTTGGATGGCTTAAGACTGGACCTAATTCATCAAATAAGATCACATATTAGATATGTCAGCAATATTCATCAATAAATATTAAGAATATGAATTATTAATCAATATATTTACCCATTAGAACTGGAAATGATTGGATTTTTTCAAAGATGGGATGGTCCAAGGCTCAGACGCTTCTGATGCAGCTCTTTCGCTTGGAGGGCCAGGCGTTGGGACAGACACCGCAGTTTTTTTTTTCACCGCGGGCCTTGAGATGTTGGTCATGGTGTGGTGCATATTATTTTCATCTGGTTGGTGTTCTTTTTTCCCATAATATATGGGATAATCATCCCGACTGACTAATATTTTTCAGAGGGGTTGAAACCACCATTTGTCACCATTTGGATTGCGCGCTGGCATGGTCATCGATGCCAGCCCGTCTTGGGCATAGCTAGAAACCTGCAGAGGTCAAGACAACCCCTGGAAACCTCTCATCTCTTGCAGCCAAAGGAAGCGAGTCCAGGCAGCGTCCCCCACGTGTGACAGTCATAGGAATCCTTTCACTAAACCATCTGTCGACGATCTGAACCCTCCACAAAGGCCACGGGAGAGCCCAGATTCCTGTATGCATCGCAATTGCCTCTGAAACTGGCCTGCCAAATCCGGTATGGACATGAAGAGCCATATGTCTGAGGATTTCACGCAAAACTTTGTTGAACCATCTGGCACGTGTTTTAAAAGAGACATTTCTCAAACCCAACAGTGGCATCGAAGCACCATCAGTCCACTTAGAAAAATGTACCGGTCCTGGTTCATCTGTTGCCAGCATAAAGTCCACGTAAAGTTGAAAATTAGAAATCCAAATGACCCCTGAAGATCCCGGATCGATGCTTTGAAGAAACCAGCTAATCAATAGCCGTACCACATCCTGGCCATACCATCTCGCTGCGGCACTGGGCAATTTCTCGAAAGAAACATTCAAATTCCACGCAGGAGCTGCTTCCGGCAGTGGAATGTCAACCTGAGGCTCAACTTCGTCGGCATACCTGACCTGAGCTCTGCTGATGGCAAGTTGGAGATGCTGCACATGCCGAGATACTTCCCTCACAAACGACAAAGCAGTCAAATGTTCATCCAGTAAAGCCCAAAAATGCTGCGGTCGAGAAAAGTTCGCTCGCACTGCTGCACGGTCAGCCATTGCATTGTTACGAATGCACCACTCTTCAACACAATTAGAGGCATCATGAACAGACTTATGGGCAGCAACTTTAAACACCCCAACATGACCTACAGGATATTGAGCAACCAGATGTGCAATAGCAATCCAGAGATCTGCATGAGGACTGTTCGGACGAGGGATAATTCCTCGAATGCATTTTGATAAACGTTTTACCACAGCAGCACAGTCTGTCCACAGACAAATCTTGTGGGCCAAAAATCTGCAATTCTCCAAAGCACGGAGGATGGCAAAGACTTCAGCCCGATAAGCACTTTGCAAATAACCAGGTAAAACTCCAGCATCAACAATCCTACATTGATCAGTGGCATCCGCAGTGTCTGGGGCAAAAACGACACTCCAAGCTGCAAATCGACATTCCACGTCATGCTGATGAACACAACTCCCATCTGTGAACAGGTGAATGACATCAGTGGCGGGAGCATGAAAAACCACAGGTTCATGTATTCTCAAATTAGCAAACATGGTATGCCATGCATGATCTGTGTGCGGTCGAAGTGACCACCCAAAAGACGTGAGGACTTCAGGCAACTGCGGCACCATTGACCACATGGACTCAGGGAACTGGGCTCTCTGGGCGGCAAAAAACTCACATTGCCAAAATCTATGGTATCGACTGTCTGTGCATCCACAATAAAGGCATTCTGCAGAAGCTCCTGGTTGAGAAAATGAGCGCACATCTTGAGTGAAATGAGCACCATTCAAAACTTTGTGACAAAGGGCTTTATCACTACTCGACAGCATGCGAAGCCACGATCGCACATGAGCTGGATCCGCCCGGTGCATCGCCCCATAGCCTTTGCGGTGGCTCACTTCGGCAGACACTACCTTTTGCCAGGCACGAGAGGCTCGACATTCAAGCTCTTGGCGACAAGTTGAGAAAAGAGAAAACTCACCCATGTCATCTTGTAACTGACCCTCAGAAGTCACATGCCACCCCAGGGTCTGGAGACGGGAGAGAAGGGTAGAGCAAATGCTATTGTCAGGGATGTTACTGGATCCACTAACAAGTTCAGCAAGAGTGGTCTCAACACTCACCGAGGAACCACAGTCTCGGATGAACCAAAACGTTTGCAAAATCGACCAAAACTGAGGGTCGTGGTTGGATTTCTCAATCAGGCCAAGGTGAATATGTGCGTTGCACCCTGCTCCATCAGCCCGCAAGCCTTTGAGGGCGCCTGCACGCAAGGTTTGATACCACTGTGAGCTGATAGTTGTTGCTGCTATGGCATGAAGGCCCTTGGGCCAGGCAGTCATCAAGATGGCTTTAAGCTTTTGTGAATAGGGGCTAGCTGAAAGCCTCAGTTTGGGCCAAACATTTTGGAGTAGCTGAACTCTTGCAATCTGGTTTGAGTTTGTGTGCTGGCGCGTGAATTGAACATGCGCTCCCAAATTCTTACATCTGGCTACAACTGCAAACCCTTGTCCTCGTGCAAAAGCCCTGCCAGTTGCTGAAATGGCCCAGCTGTACGTCTTGCGCTCATCAAGCAGAAGGTCAAACATATCAGCAAATTGGACAAGGTTGTCCATTATGGCACCAAGCTGTGTACTATCAGTGGTCACAACTTGCCAGTCATCAACATATGTTAAAGGCCGGGCAAGAGGCATCATGTACTTGAACCAAGCATGAAGCGTCCAGTCAATGACCATCATGGCAACACACGAAAGAGCACAGCCTTCTGGGACACCAGTAGTGCTAAGCAACGGTTCAGTGACATGATCACGAATTTGAAACCTCCTGGCCATTGTCGCAAGGGCGCCTGTCCAACCTAGAAGCATGCGTGTAGGAAGACCAATATAGGCACAAAGTTCCATAATTGCAAGCCTAGGAATGTGATTGAATGCTTTTTGGATGTCAGCAATAACCCCCGCAAGATCAGTTTCTTGGGAGTAAGCCTGCTCTATGTCCCAAAGAAGACTAGCCCAGATCTGGCCAGCAAAGCGGTTAGGCCGACTACCAGCAAGTCCAGGTGGCAAAAGTCCATCCAGCTTCCGCAGGGCATGAAACGCATGATGTGAAGACCAGCACCTATACAGTAGGCCTAAGACCGTCACCGGACGGAAATCCAAGGCACTTTTGGGAGCAGGGTTCTTCGCAAGTGATGACACCTTGCCTGACACTACTTGAACTGGCCATTCTCCAGTGTGTTCCGCTTGCTTGTACATCTCACAGAAATTGGCAAGCATCGCATCAGGAACTGCTTTGAGGTCAGCAATGCTAACACCATCTGGTCCACTTGCAGTAGTGGGCTTTTTTGAAGAGACCAGGTGCTTCAAGATTGGGACATCAACCGATGGCCAGTCAAAATGACCCTGGGGAAGGTGTTGGCGCGCAAAGTCTAAGATGCCATTCCATCTGTCAGGTGGCACCTCAGTATGGCGTTGCCACCTTTCTTTCCAAGTGGCAAGAAACTCTTGCGACAGGGCTTCAACCGTTCCACAAAGCTGCACCTGAGAGAGACACATACCTGGGCTGAGGCCATCAAGCGATTGAACCCAGATACCATCAGAATCAGCATGGATGACCGGCACCGTAGTGCCATTACACAGGATTGGTTGGTCAGACCAGTCCTGGGCAGTGTCGAGAATGAGCATGTTGTGGGCAACATCAATGTCTTCAATCGTGGCAACAAGGGATCGAGCCAACACTTCAGGACCACCAGGCGCAGGCTCTTTGACATCTTTAAAAATGACATTGGGATTCTGAGCACGACGCAGCTTGGCATACTGTCTGGAAGCACGAGTGAGCTGGGTTTCCAGCGTTCTTGTGGCCAACACCATTGTTTCAAACATGGCAACTGCAACACTACAAGTTGGAGGATGTACAGGACATGTAAAAGGGGCTCCATTGGTCAAAAATTGACAGCCAGACCACCACTCAGGGAAAGTAGGATCAAACCCACGGGCTCGAAGGATGGCATTCCACATTTGAGAAGGCTGGTCAACTTCTTTACGTGGTTGCGAGCTGCTTTGGACTCGCACATACGCTTGCAATCTACGTACCTGCCGCACCCACAACACATGTCTTCTAGAGGCACCATGAAAATGGGGGGAAAATTCCCCTGCCCTTGACATCTTCAAGGGGGCCGTCCCAAAACTCCTGGCAGGTGTGGTGCTGAGAGTTTGACCCCGTCCACAGGCATTTTTTGAAACAGGAACAGGCATCACCCCACTAGCCTGGCTTTCCGCATGTTTCCACAAATTGGCATACTTGTCTGTGGCAGTCATGTCATTCGCCTTCCAGAACTCTGGATTTACTGGAAAGTGCACTGGCCAAGGAAAAGCAGCCGGCATAAACCACTTATTTACCGAGGTTCGTGAGCTCAAGGGTTTAAACAAGCCTCGAAATGCAACGTGGTCTGGAAAGATATCGTGAAAAACCTCAACATCAGTCAGCAAATCCTGCAATTCCGGGGACACGAAGCAGAAATCCTTGCGTGTTTTGTTCTCACAGGTGTTCACAATAGGTTTGCCAAAACGTTCAAGAGCTAAGGTCTGCAAATCACGAAATCCAGCATCATGAAGGAGTTGGAATGCAGGTAATGAGTCAAGCGTCTCATTAACATCTCCAGCTACAAATCGAAAACCCCTGGTAAGGTGACACACATGACCAGCCACATGTTGCAACAAGACTTCATTGTGAAACCGATGGTCTGGGTGCAGGTGACCATCAGGTTCACCGTAGAGCACTCCCCCGGTAACCCAGGCATCATCAACAATGGAAGCAGCAACCATCGCCCTAGCAGACTCAGCAACTTCGCACGGCCAGCTGTTTGCGATACCCCTGGTCGGATGAGATGAAAGGACAGCAACTCCTTTCCAAGCTCCATTGGACCCAACTTGTGGAACAGGATGACCCCCCACACAAAACTTGTATTGTGATGCATGAAACCGCAGGCTGGAGCGGAATTGGTGCATCCCCCTGGCTGATAGATGTGTTTCTGAAACAGCCAAAATGTCGCAATGCAAATGAGACGAAAGATACTGTGC